TGGAGGGAAGCTTTTGTTTCTCCATCCCCGCAGCACATTCTTCTTGGGTAAAATAAAGGATTCCTCGCTGTACTGCCTCAGGATGAGCTGTCCAGCTGCTCTAAATCCGTCCCTTGCTCATCACCTAAGCTCCTGTCCTGTTCAGAGAGGAGCTGTGTGTCTTTAAGCATCCGCGGAGCGAGGGTTTACCCGCAGCAGAATCCGCAGGGATGGTTGTTAGCGGGTCAGTGCAGCATTAGCCTGTCGGGCCTGTGCTCTTCTCTTTGCTCTTCCTCCTCGAGCAGCATCTTTCCCTTGTGTCATCTGGGGTTCCTCGTGCTCACCGGTTTTCAAATCGTGGCTTTTAATTATAAATGAAAAGACAATGTTAGCTTACACATCCTCTTGCTTTTTAGCGTGTTCATGTTTCCTTCTTTCCTCCCCAGCCTGCAACTGTAGGGCAGGTGCTGGTGCAGTTTTATGGCTGTGATCCAAAGCAGCCCGGTGTTTGCAGCTCTCGGGATGACCAGCCTGTTGGAAAGCCCCAGCGTGGCAGCGCCCGCCAGCCCCCGGGAACCACCTATGGATGGAAATCTGTGCCTGGAGGAGGGAGCGTGTGTGACAGCTCTGTGGGTGGTTGGGGGAAACTTCAAGTGCTCGATTCCCACAGCATGTTAAATTTTCTGCCAGGACAGACCGGAGTTAACTTAAACAATCAGGAAGGTTACTTGCCTGCATTTGAGGCGTTAATTACTCATGAAGCTGACAAGTTCAAACTCTATTTGTTGCCAGGCAGACTTGCTTTGAGCCAAGCCAGTGCAAAATACCTCTTAGCTGCAGCCGCCTTTGTTTTCCTTTGGAGACCACGCAGGTCCCTGTGCTGGCCTGAATGTATAAATAAGCTTTACAAGCGAGTACCTACCTTATGGACAGGTTTGTATTGGAGGTTTGCTATAGATTTGAGGTGCTCATTAACAGCTGCATACACAGGAGTGGGAAAACTGGAAGATCCACAGCTTCTTCCCCAACTCTGTAAATGCACCTTGGACACTTGTTTCTAAGAGGACATTTCTGAGTAGCTCAGCCATTGACTCACATAGTTGCTTCCCATTCTCTCTAAGGGTCTGCCATTACACAGATATATAATACACCTTGAGTGGTTTGCATTTGCTGTGTCAGTGAAAGAGGTTCCTAAGCATCAGAAGCCCACAGGAGTTCAAATCCCCATGTAAGTCATCTCTGAGTAGTTACACCCTAGACTGGAATTACAGGACAGAAACCGAAGTCCTGAGTATAAACCCTTCTCAACCAATATCAATTAGGATTTCCTCATAGTAGCAGAAGGACCTTATCCTATAGATGGAGTTACTAAGAGGTTTTTTTTTTTGGTTAGGCTGGCATGCAAATGTCAAAAGGACACAGCTGGGGGGGGCAGGGACGGACAGACAGATGGGACAGAGGCAAGGCAGAGTGACATGTTTTATTTTTATCCTAAAATTACATTCAGAGAATGTAGTACAGTGGAAAGTGCTGTATTGGGCTGTTCAGAGGGTTGTCATAAAGTTCTATCTTCACAAAACAGACAGCGATGACTGCTTTTTTTTTTTTTTTCCTTGATTTTTAAAGATGAAAAATGCATTAAATCTCACGTGTTTTCTCATTCTCTCCTCTGTTATCCTGGTGTAAATCAAGAATGACTTCTTGAGATCGAAGAAATTAATTTAATATAAAATCAGCATGATTCAGTATCAGTGTGATATTTGCAAGGTGTGTGGTGTCTTCTAACAGTTGATTAACTTTTTTATTGGCATAAACAGAATGGTTTAATCTTAATTTCGAGTTTCTGTGGTATGTTAGTTGTCAGAAGAACAGAGGATGCTGTGAAGATTGCCTGTGCAGCATGGTGCTGTCCCAGAAGTTCATGGTTAAAACCCCTCTGTGACTCAACGGCAGAGTGCTTCAGGCAGGAAAAAGGAAAAATAGTTTACAGATCGGTGGGACAGATACCTTGATTTGGGAGCAACAACATTTGAAATTCAATCCCAAAATGTGAGATACCAGAAGCCTTTATGTTTTCTTTGGAGTGAAGGACCAGTTACAGAGAGCGGTTGTTTCTCATCTTCATTGACCTCTGGAAATAATTGTTCTGCAGCACGTACACAGTACAGCACCGTGCCACAGATCCTGGGAGTCTAGGTACAAAGGGCTGAGCCAGAGGCTCTGCAGAGATTTGGAAGTGTCACTAAGAGCAATGTGCAGAGCGATGTGGTGGTGCTGTAAGAGCGATGTGGAGCTGTGATTTGTGCTGGAAGCAGGAAGGAAGCAATCAGCACAGATTGAAACTGTGCACACGTTCAACAAGGTGGTGCCAAGTAGCCACTATCCAAACACTGAACAAAGCCAAAGAGAAGAAGCCTAAGTAAGGCTGCAGCTGCTATGAACAGTGAACACAGAGCCAGTAGTGCTATGGGTGGTAGTATAAATCTATTGAATAGACAAAATTCAGACATGAAAGTGAGGATTGGCTGGACATCACAGCGTCTTCCCCCAGCTGTGCTTCTCAGCTGCTTCAGGCAGAGGACAGGCTATTGCTATACGGAGTTTCAAATGGATTTGTCAGTGCACTGTGTTCTTAATTTTTGCGACTTGTTTATGTCATGGCTGAAAGTAAGGATGTCAGTATTTAACCAGATGAGACTGAGAAATTATGTGACTAGAAATATCCAGAACACTTGAGCACACCATAAAAGAGGTGTGACTGGAAGCGAGTCGGGAGTTTATTGCTCAGCATAATTGTAGATTCACAGACTGGTTTGGGTTGGAAGGGACCTTAAAGATCACCCAGTTCCAACCCCCTGCCATGGGCAGGGACACCTTCCACCAGCCCAGGTTGCCCACAGCCCCGTCCAACCTGGCCTTGAACCCTTCCAGGGAGGGGGCAGCCACAGCTTCTCTGGGCAGCCTGTGCCAGGGCCTCACCACCCTCACAGGGAAGAGTTTCTTCCTCATATCTAATCTAAATCTCCCCTCTTTCCTTTTAAAACCATTACCCCTCATCCTATCCCTACATCCCCTGATCAAGAGTCCCTCCCCCCTTTCCTGTAGCCCCTTTCAGTACTGGGAGGCCTTCTCTTCTCTAACTGAACCCCCCCCCAACTCTCTCAGCCTGTCCTCACAGGGGGTGCTCCAGCCCCCGATCATCTTCATGGCCTCCTCTGAACCCACATGTTTGTGTCCTTATATTGGTGCCCCCAGAGCTGGGCACAGCACTGCAAGAGGGGGTCTCGAGCAGAGTAAAGGGGAAGAATCCCCTCCCTAGACCTGCTGCCCACACTGCTCTGGATGCAGCCCAGGATACAAACGGCTTTCTGGGCTGTGAGCACCCATTGCTGGGTTGTGTTTTGCTTCTTGTGAACCAACAGCAGTCCCTCTGGATGGCACATCCCTTCCCTTCAAGCATGTCACTGCATCACACAGGCATGATTTGCCCTTAGTGAAGCTGTGTGGGCTGTCACCAATCACCTCCTTATTTTTTGTGTGCTCTAGCAGTTTCCAGGAGGAAAATAGCCAGTAATTAGTGGTGCCAAATTCATGATTAACTGTGTGGCATAAAGGTGGACGAGTATCTGCAGGAGACTGCTGGAATCCCTGATGAAACTCCAGTTCACTTCAGTGGGGACAGCTTGTAGTATGGCAATAATCTGTATATTCATCCCTCAATAAGTGTGAAGTCCTGTGTTCATTGTTTCTCTGGGCTGCAGGTCTGTTGTGTTCAATTTGCAGATAAATGAACGTGTTTGGCTATGTGGTTTGTGTCAGGGGATGGGGTTAGGATCTTAACTGCAACCCAACCTAGGAGCTGGGAGCTGAGCTAGGCTTTTTCTTGCTGTGTGATGCCATTGCTCATAAATGCCCTACGAAGCCCGGCAGATCTCAGTGACACCGGGGAGGTGCCATTTCTTCTTACTTCAGTTATAACTGAATTAAACTAAAGGGCAATTTGGCATACTGTGTTTGGAGTGGGAAGGGATCCAGCCTATCAGGTGTTGTGCTGCATGTGCATGTTTGACAAGAGTAAAAGCTGAAGTAAACAACATCTCACTTGAATAGACCTACGAAGTACAATTTTTCCAGATACAAATTTTCTTAATGGTGATAGAGCTGAGAGCTCAGAGGACCATAATCCTTACTTATGGGAGATATCTCAGTGTACTTTCATGGAAGTCAGCAGAGTTAGATCAAAATTTTGCAGAAGATAATGCTTCATATATTACTTACCTCTTTCTTTTAATTCTTGGAGTTTTGTTCCATATTTTAATGATAGCTCAAGCATCCTGATCCTGTCAGGGGTATCTATTTTCTTTTGCCAATATAATCATTTAACAGCACTCTGAAGTTAAATATTGGCATATAAGGATATAATAAATAATAACAAATAAGAAGCACTGAGAATTGTATCAGCATATGTTGATGTTCATCCATTCAACAGTGGCATTCATCCATGTTACTTTATACAGCAGGGTAAATTAAAACAGTACAAGAAAGCATAATTAAATACATTTTTATTATCATCATGAAAGCTTTGGAAAGAGCTAGAAAAATGTAGAGGCTGTGTCTACGCTGCAGACATTTGACCATCTAGTTTTGTTGATTTCTGAGCTTTCGTTGATGTCAGGTGTTGGCAAAAGCCCTTGGCCTAGTGCAGTTAAATTGGCAAAAGTGGACTTCTTACTGGTAGAACGCACTTTGAGTGGTGAGAGCTGGAATACAGTGCTTCAACTAAAATACAGCTTTAATGGCAGAAACTGCAGTGGCGTTAAGAATGTTGGCAGCTTCACTGCTAAATGGTCACAGTGTGGGCTGCAGGGTCTTCGTTACTTACCAGACCTCATCTGGCTGGAGGAGGGACTAGTGGGAATATATTTGCGTAGAAGTTGCCAACTGCTGGGTGGTGTACTAATAGCAAAAATCTCAATCTCTAACCAATTCTTCCTTTCTGTCTTGCTCTGTTTCTCCTGCAGGGCTTGTGAAGTTGGGGGTTCACTGTGTCACGTGTCAGAAGGTCGCGATAAAAATTGTCAACAGAGAGAAGCTCAGCGAGTCGGTGCTAATGAAGGTAATTTTCTAATGGGAGATTTAAAAAAAAAAATATTAAGTTCTTGGCTCTGTGTCTTCTGTTCCATTCAAAATTAATATCTTTAATTACGTGTAACAAACATCCCTGTCAGTACTAGGATTATGCGGAGCATAATAACAATAATTTAGTTATGGGGGAGGCTAGGGCAGCTGAAATTAAATAGGAGTAAGCCTGTGCTTTGTGAACAAAATAAACGGTCAGCTGCAGAGTTGTTGCTTCTCTGCTGGGGCAGATGTGTGTTGGGCATTTGACTTCCACTGCTGCAGCACAGCAGAACAGTTGTGGCACATTGCAGACTGAGGTGTACAGATGTCAGCGGGAAGAGATTGAAGAGAGGCTGGTGAATCTGGTTTTTTGAATAGGCCTCCTGCTTGCTGTGCTGCATGGGTTATGATCTGGTGCACCAAGGTCCGTGACTGGCTAAAGCTGTTGTAATTCTGTAAACAGTCCACAGAGCTGTGCCACTGGAAGCCATCAGAGTGTCTGTCCTGATGGTCCCCATGACTGTAGCGTTCAGAAGAGATTAATCTGTTTCTTACCTACCCTTGTGATACCCGTCTCCTTACATGAGTGTCATTGATTGATCTTGGAAACCTAAAAATAAAACAAATATATGCATAGAGGTTTATTCATGTGATTTGGTGACTAGAAAGGCTAAATTCAGCTTGATGGGAGGGAACACAACTGCACTGCAATCAACAGAATTCCATCAAGCTGTCACCTGCAGATGACGCTGACAGGTCTGCATACAGCGTAGAGCACTTTATTGAGGTAACTTCCCTATAAGCACACGGAGCATATATCTTTACACTGCTGTTTCTTTTATGTACTTCTGTGTCAGCTGTTTTCCAGCACAAGTAAGTATAGCAGCCTTGCTAGGAGCAGAAAGAAAATGGAGACTAAAGGAATATGCAGTCAGTGGAGGTTACACATACAATGTAAGATTATTTTTTTTAGAGAAGGATTCTTGAAGTTTATATTCAATTGTGATGTGTTCAGACTTACCTTTCTGGAATTTTATTGGGGTATTCCCTCTCCTGCAGTACTGTGGATTCAGTCAGTTTTCTAATACACATTTACAGTTAGAAAGTGAAATAGGTAGGAAAACTGCCACTTTAAAGGGAGATTCAGTGGATGAATGGAATACAACAAAAGCAAAGAAAGTGTATGAATGGTGAAATCTGAATGAGACTCTAAACACTTTGAATATTTTGCAGAGTCACATAGTAGCAATATTTTTAAAAAACATGAGCATTTTGTTTGCTGAGAGACACTGTCTGGTATCTGTATAGAAAAATTTATTTACCTCATTGATTTTCAGAGTAGGAGGCAAATCACTTAGCATAGCAAAGTGATCTCTCTGCTTTAGTTGTGTTGTGTTACCTCGGTTGTAGTATGAAATCTGAGTAGTGAAACAGTGTGTTAGGCCCTTGTTTACACAGCCGCATGCTGCCGTGTGCCACGTTTTCTGTGAGATAGTACAACATCCTTCTCAGGAGGAAACCACACGTTGTATCGTGATTCTCATTTTCAGACCGTTCTTGGTGAGATTTTTCTCTTTCAGGGATTCTGTTCTCTGTGCCCAGGAGGTTGGAACAGCAGATGGGATTGAAGTGGTTTGCCCAGTTCCTGCATAAACTCAGTAACCAGATGTCTTTTCAGGAATGCTCTGTGCCTGATGGTCACAGACAGGGCCTGAGACTTCTAAGTGAATTTGGAATTGACTGTACTGTTAGCCAGCTTAATCCAGCCTGGCCGAAGGGGAAAAACGCTTGCGGCTTTTGGCAGTCCCGGTGTGACCGTGGTGAAGCATCCAGCTGACAGCTTGCTGCGTGGAGTCAGCAAGCACAGGGAAATAGCCAACAGCGAAGCCAAGTCGTGGTGGTGTGGTGGCATTCCTACTTCGCAAATCTTCCCACTGGCTTATCAGTTCCGGGGACTCTCTTTGCCAGTGGGCCATGCAGAACAGTCCCTGGAGCCAAACGATTCAAGACCACAGCTACTCTTCCAAGCCAGTCCCAGATTGATGGAGTTTGCTTTAATCCATGCTTGGACCGAAAAACTGGATCTGACAAATACGCACACCTGCCGCATGAAGCTGTAACACTGCAGCGCTGTGGCCATTTATCCTAGAGCATAAGGAAGAAGTCTGCTTGCAGTCCTTTCAACATCTAAAATGACAGGCACAAGCATATACAGCAGGCTGCTTTCTCTGCCATCATTATTCTATTTTGACTTGCTTTCATTTCTCCAGTGTTTTTGCCGTGTTTTATTCTGTATGCTCAGGGAACTGTCCCTTCTTTCTGCAGCTGCTCTTCATCTGAGCTGTGCAGAATTGAGAGGCATTTGGTAAAGTGCTTTCTAATCATAACGTCGTAGTATCGATATTTCTGGAGAGAAGAATTTGGAATTTAAGCAGCTGGTCTCAATTAGCAGAACTGCTGCTATGGAGATGATGCACAGGCAGGCACGACGCAGCAGAAGCTGCAGTAAATGTATCATCCAAGCACTTGGTGCCCTGTCAAAGGACAGGGCTGCTCAATGCACACACGAGCCTTTTGCTTTGTCATGCCCTCACTCGCTGAACACAGGCTGGGGAGCAGTGCTCCTTTCCCCGCTCCAGCTTAGGCCTGTTGGGGAGCCTGGTTTGGGGGCAAAGCTACAAATGCAATTTCACAGATGAGAACAGAAGGGCTGGCTCTGTTCTCGCTTCTGCTTTCACACAACTGGAAAAAGCTTCAGCTGGGTTTCTTCAACCACATGGTGGTAGCCCCCACTGATGTGGAGACCTGCTTCCCGCAGTACTTCTAGCTTGCTCTAGCACAAATTGGCAGAAAGATTTCAGAAGGGAGTGCATTATAGGGGGAGCATCTTGAGTCTGAGTTCATTAATTTCCCCAAATTACTTCTGGATCACTGAGAGGGAAATTAGGCCCAGAATGCAAGAGCTGAATGTGTTCATAAAGCAGTAAGCTTTCCCAAACAGGCAAGTTCGCTATTGATGGTTGCGATTTCAGTACCAGCAGAAGTGTTGGGAGTTTATAACTTCAGAATATAGAGGTTAGAGCAAATCTTTCCTCTGATGGTGGCAAAATCTAGTTTGGAAACGTTGAGGTGTGTCATGAGACATACTCAGAGGAGTCCTTTCTGCTTTAGTGCCTCAGCAGTTCTCTTCCACTCCTTCCTTCCAAAGAATAAACAACAACAAAAAGCCGACTCTTTTGGTGATCCATCAGGTGAAATACTCTTTGGACAGACAGTGGTAGTAGAAGCAGTGGGAGCATAAAGGGTGAAGAGCAAGAAGGGGACAGCTGACCTTGGGCTAATTATTTGAACACGCAGGCATCCTGAGAAAGCCACAGATGTCCCAGGGTTGATGACTGGAGCCCAGAGCTCCATATGTGTGCTTTGTGTGTAGGTGCCTTTTGTTTCTTCTGACTGAGTCCTCCAGTGCTGGACTTGAAGCGAGGCAGGTATTTCTGGGTTGGGGGATGGGAAGAAGCACAGTCCCTTCCACTTTTCTCTTGTAGAGCTCAAGTGAAACACGGTTGGTTGGTTGGTTTAATGCCTTGTGGTGCTAATAACCTCTGCTTCCAAAACATTCTGCAAAGGTGTAGAGTGTGTTCTTAAGCGGGGAGGATCATGCAGCAATCACTGTCAGAGATGACTGATTGCCTGAAATAATTGAGTGGAGGGATAGGTATCAGGATCACGTGTCAGCCTCTTGGAACTGCCAGGATAATTTATGAAAGCATACTTGTAAATAGTCACTGTTTTGCATGGCCTTTTTGTCATCTTTTGCTTCTTCCTGAGCTTCTATTTCAATAGCTACTTATTTTGTTACTGCCTTGTCCTACTTTGAGTCTTTCCTTCCATCTCCATTTTCTTTCAGCTGTTATTTTTGCCTCTTTTTAACCCCTTTCATTCTTCTTTTCTCCCCCATTCTGTGATTTCTTCCTTTTTTCTCCATCTTTTCCCTTTTGCTACAGAAAGTCATGTAATAACTGTCGTTGTTTTGTTGCAATAACTGCTGAAATGCAGCGTGTCTGGTTGAGGTGCCCATTCTTTGAGGAAAAAGTTTAGAAAGTGGGCACAACTCAGAAAGTATCTGAGGGAGTAAGTAAACTCATGTGTTGTGGGAGACTTAAGGTATTCAGTCTACCTAGTTTATTAAAGAGAAGGTTAAGACATAGCTTAATCATGGTCTGTAAAGACTGATAAGAAGGATAGGCATTTGATAATAGAGGATATTACAGTCTTGGACACAAAAGCTTATTGGAAACTAGTAGTTGTAAACTGTAGGCAGACAGATTAAATGTAGACCTGTTTGACCACTGGATGAAGTTACTAATTGGAACAAACCACCCGAAGCTCTGGGGAGTTTTTCCCCTGAAAGACTATTAAACTTCATCTTAAACTGCAGTGTGTTTTTCTAAAACCTAGACCCTGGTTCATCATCAGCTGCTGGACTCACAGCAGGAAGTAGTTGAAGATGGTCTCCCGACCCGTGCCATGCGTTAGCTCTGACTAGATTTACGCGTCTCTCTGGCCTTAAGATCCATGGAGCTGTGGTTTTCTAATCACACACTTGAAATCTGTAAAAAGTCACTTATCTCTGTCTAGAGCATAAAGAGAGGTGCTTGTACAACATATCTGCAGAAGCAGAAATTTAGGCTCCCCCAACCGACGTTAAAGAAGGGAATACTTGAGAGCAGCATGAGAGCAGGGATACCTCATTTTCAGACTTTTCAAACAAAAGACTGATACTGGCTGACCTAGCTGTCCTCAGCTGCTGACTGGAGGCCTGGTCTACAGAAATCATTACCAGAATATCAGAACTGTGTTAGGGAGAAGCAAAATCTGAGACAGAGACAGAAACAGACTGAATAGTGTAACTTGGTTCAAATTCAGCTTTGATCATAATAAGGGCAGTTTCCCTCATATTAGCGAAGCCAAACTCCCCAACACCAAACCAGGATT